GGGGGGGGGGAGGGCTTCTTCTTTTTGTTTGCACTATCTGAGATCGGAGAGAGAGAGAGGACTCAGATCTTGATTTGAGATCTTCGAGTTCCCCTTCGAGTTTGGCGTTTCTTTTCTTTTGGTCCAGGGAAGAACTACGCGATTTTGCTAGGAAATCCCCACAGACGGCGCCAAATTGTTTGACTCAAAAGTTATTACATACCTTATGAGTATAAAACAATATAAATAAATCACGGAAAAATCATAGCAAACCGTAATAATCCGTTGGACCAAATGAAGGAAACGAAAATAAGTACTCAGGATTAGGGGGAGAAACATTAGAAGCCTTTATTGATAATATTGGTTTGGTCTGCCTCTCCATGAAGAGGTTCAGAGCCTTACAATGGTGTTCCTCTTGCCCATAATTTGGGTATCGTTGTCTTTTTTTTTCTCTCTATAGTGGTGAAGAAGAAGCCCCCCTTTCTAAGGTTTCCTCTCTTGGTATTTATAGCTGTGAGCTTCGTGAGCTGGCAATAAGTGGCCGTGACCACGTTGGGATTTCGCCTTCATGGTGCCGGATGGGCCATGGCCTTGCTGATCGAGTCAGATGCGGGTTGAATATCGTTAATTCTGAGTAGTCGTGCCACTAATTAATCATGAATTAACTTAAGACGGGATTAGCTTCGTTAATTATCGTAGGGTCTGATTCTGACCCATACACCTTTCCTCTACAAGATTCTAAACTTGTGTTTATGGTAGAGCATAGCCTTTAAAAGAGCATAAAAGAATCATTGATTGTGAAAATTGTAAAATTAATAATTTTATCAAGTGAAAACATCTTGTAATACATTTGGAGTAAAATAACTGAATGCTGAGATTTCCCTCTTCTTTATTAATTTAACCGTATTAAGCAGAAAATTTCAGCCATGAAATTTATGCTTAGCTTTACTGTGGAGAAACTCTGAGCCTAGGGTCTCTTAGAAACAACCTTTCTATCCCTTTGATGTGGGATAAGCTCTGCGTACACCCGACTTTCCTCAAACCCCACTAGTAAAATATTGCTTTACTATAGAGAAAAATTGTTATTTATAAAAAGTAAAAACCCCCTCGAAAAGCTTATCAAAATTGGGAAAAAGCTATAATGGCATTTGTCCTTTGACAACCCACTGAAAAAGAAAGGAACAAAAAAAGATGAAAAACAAGAGAAAAAATTGAATAAAAATAAGAAGGAAATGAAAAAAGAGAGGAAAGGGAAGGAAATAAAATGCCAAAAAGCACATCCAATTCTATCAAATTTAGAAATAAATATTTTCTAATTAATTTATAAAATATATTACAAAATAGTCAGAGAAAATATTTTAATTTTGTTTATATTAAGTATAATTTCAAGATTTTTAATTCCAACTCACTTCCCTCTATTATTGGTTTAGCTGGAAATTTTAACAGCCAAAAGCTCCTGAAGTGACAAGTATTTATCATTAGCTCATTGCTCCAGATAGATAGTGTGTTGACATTCTGCCCCTTAATGCTTCTATTATTAATTTTGACATATTAAACAAATGACTCATTAATCTTAATCACACTTTTTTTAATTAACTTAGATATTCTAGATTTAACTATTGGATATTCCCAAAAATCTGGAATTTAGCTTGAAATTACATAAATTTTACATGAATAAACTCTTCAGTTCCTTGACTTTTTTTTTAATAAAGGATCAATTCCATTTTTTTGGCTAGGAAATAAAAATAATTTATGTTCCTATTAAGGAATATCTTTTGGCAAATAAAAGCCAAAGAGTGCAATATGAAACCACAGCTTTTTAAATTTTCTTTTTTTTGTTTTTATCGAAAGCATGAGAATAAAGACAGTGATGCCACTACTTTTGGACTTATATTTTAGGTATTTATTTATCGTTTACTTAATAAATTGTTAAGTACGGAATATAGTTTTTAAGCCCCATATAATCAGGAACATTCAAGAGGTTATAATTATCGAAAATCCAAATTTCAATTCTACTGGTATAATTCCAAAAAATTTACCCTCCAAATTTAACCAAAAAACAAAGCCATAACTCAGAAAGTTCATGTTTTTGCTCCCACAAATACAGGTATAATCTCTTTAATTTATCCTCTCTACACAATATGTTTAAATTTTAATTGGCTGTGCTATTTTCCACTGACTGTTTAATTTTTTTTGAACTTATTTAATTTAAAAGAATTTAAGGTTGTTTCGTTTTTGGAGTTCTTTTGATGGTTTAAGACCCCTTTTAGCTAAACAGTATTTTGTTGTTATTTCTTGATTGTAACTGTCTAAATTGTTGGTTTATTTAATCAAGATTCAATTTTTTTGCTATGTTTGATCGTATTTCTACTTGGCTTGATTAGGTTTTATGAATTATTACAAATTCTAGTTAATTTTTTGTGTGGGGTTTAAAAAGGTTTGAACTTTTCAGTTTTCATAAGATGGCAATGCTTACTGAAATGGTGTTACTTAAATTATGTTGTATGTATTTGTATCTTTGAGCTAGGTGAGTATCATAAATTTAATATGAATAGTATTAGTCTCTGTTAAATTCCATGATTTTGGCTATTTTTAGCTACTTTTGCTTCTTATTATTTATCTTTCAAATATTCTAGGTGGTTGTAAGTATTCATGCATTAGTAGCGGAGTAAGGATTTGATATTGAAGCAATGCAAAAGGATAGTAATTCTGGTGCCCCTGGAACACCACGACTACGTCGTCGCAGAGGATCAAATGAGGTGACTTTCCTTTTGTTTCAGTGTTTCTAGTGACTGGCTGCATTTTCTATTTTTTTTTTTCTGGTTGCTCTTAGTCGGTGTTAATCGCTTAAATTTAAGAATGAAAGAGTATAGATGAATAACAGAATGACATTGAGAGTTAATGTGCCATTTGACAAAAGTAGTGAATTACTGTCTCAGTTCCATCTTATGTGATGGTATGGACTGAATATAGAGTTTAAGATGTTAATTTAATTTTTGTATTGTAATAGTGGTAGTGAAAAAAATTTAATGAAGTAGTGGTTCAAAATTTGTTTGATAGTCATGTTCGTGCCGCGCACTAAGGGTCTAACTCAGGTATTTAAGTGGAGACAGGTAGAGGGGCAGGTCCATCATCCCCGAGTTTCGTAGGCTCGGACTAAAGGGTCAGCTCCATACGGATTTCTCGGTCATAAAAAAAAAGTTGTTTGATAGGAAAACATCACATTAACATTTAAAATTTGAATAATTAAATATGTTTCAACTCTTGAAGATTGTGAAAGTGGTATCGACGGTAGAATAACGTTATCAGTATGATGGTGTGAAACAATTTGGAATGTCTTGTCATATAAACTGGAAAAGGGGAGTTCCTTATTTTTTTTGATAAGTAGTACTCCTATTATTTATTGCTTATTCAATTTTGCAACTAGAAAATGCTAGATTTTGGTTTTCGGTATCTTGTAGATGCTACGTGTCTGAAGTTGTTGCTGAAGTTCTTTTTCTCCCTCTTCCTGAAATTTCAGGTTCCTCAGGAGGTTGTCAAAGCAAATGGAGCCCATTTGCTCGTTGACGATCGGAGCAAGTATAGGTCAATGTTGATCCGTCTATATTCAACTCTCTGGATGATTGGCGGTTTTGCTTTCGTCATTTACATGGGGCATCTTTATATTTGGGCTATGATAGTAGTTATACAAATTTTTATGGCAAAGGAGTTGTTCATTCTACTTAGGAAAGCGCATGAAGACAAGCAACTTCCTGGTTTCAGGCTATTAAATTGGTGAGCAATATCATTCTTGTATTTTACTTTCCTGATAAATTTTCTTTTGCCATTGGACTTCTTGTAAAGGCAATATATTTTACCGAAAAGTGAGTTTGCATTGAAGAAAAACGTGAATGGCATCTTCAGAGTGGTTTTCACATAAAGGACATTGACTGCAAATCTGAAAGCCTCTTTTGTGGAGGTTGTTCTGGGTGAGGCATGCCTCCCTAGCCGCTGGCCAAGAGAAACAGGAGACTTTCAGAGGGGCATTATTATGCCGGACACTCTTTGATGGAAAAGTACCACTGTTGTCGTGAGAAATAAAGGGTATGTAACAAAATTTCACAGAAAAAAGACTGTTGTCCTCTCCAAATGAAGGAATCGGATTTCTGGTGATCTAGAGCGAAGTTGCTGATCAGTGTTAACAAATCAATGTCCTTTATACTTCATAATCATTTAAGTTCCTCCGGAGGAAAAGATAATCCTAGTGAAGTGGAAAAATAAGCTATCATGGCGTTGTAAAGAGAAGAAATCCTGAAAACTGTGCTTTAAGAGATGAGAGACTCAACCAAGCATCCTCCCAAAATCTAATTTTCCTGCCATTGCCAAGTAGAAAACCATAATTTTCAGTGAATTTGTCTCCATAAGAATGCATATGCTTCCAAATTCCATGAGGTTCGGTTGATTCTTTGGTGAACCGAGGATTATCCAAAGTGAGCTTTTCAGCCAATAATCTTCCCCATACGTTCTTATCCTTGTTGAATTTCCAATACCATTTTAAAAGAAGACTTTCATTATGGGACTTCAAGTTCTTAATCCCAACACCTCCGTTCTTCCTGTTTCTGATATCATTTTCCCCAGCCATCGAGAGTTTCCCTGTTTGCTCTATTCCATAGGATATCTCTTCTCATCTTGTGAATACGCATTAAGATTGACACCAGTGCTGGAAAGAGGAACATGCTGCTGGTTTGAATAGCATCAGGAACACTATTTAAGAGTGGCTCTTCCCCCTAAGGATATATACTGCTATTTCTAGTTTGCCAATTTTTGTCCATTTTCTCGAGAACTCAATTCAAGATATTGATGGATTTGTGCTTCCCAGATTTATTGTTGGCCGAGAACCAATGTTGTATTGTAGGATGATAGCTCGTTAGTGAATATTTGAAACTTAATTTAACGGGAAGAGTGAACTTTCTGAGAAGTCGATGTGAAGTTCGGGGAAGGCCACGAAAGGTTCTGTTTCAACTTAATCATCCTATAATTAAAAATTAGTATATAGTGGCGTAAAAGGTGATTAAATTGAAAGTAAACACAAAGTTCAGAATGGAGAGAGTAACTTATTTGAACTAGAAAAGAATCATATGGATTGTTTGGGAGGTCTATTGGCGAAGTCTATCAATTATTGAAATACAGTATAGTCAGTCTGTGAACTTGAGGCCACAGGAGAGTTATGCAGAAGATGTAGGAAATCAGACCAGCTATAGAAGTACTGCTTATTCTAAAGCTTCAATAAGTTCGATAGATCTCTTCGAATAGTTGCGAATGAAGGGAAAATGAGAATTGTGACTAGCATCCCAAATTTTCCTTAATGCAGCTTTCTTGAATTTGGATGTACAAAAGTTCTTGAAGAAGGGTATGTCTGGCTGATCTTCCTTCCAACAAAATCCCTGCACCTGAAAGCTATCCTAAAGTGGCAAAGATGGAGAAATGTCTTGACACGATGGTGAAGGTAAAAATGGACTCGAAATGTTTTTTGGTTGAGGAGGATTCTCTAAAACCAGTAGATTCTTCTTTTGAAGGTGCCCAATGGAGTATTTGATGATGTTACATCAGATATTCCAGCTTGCTTGAAAATTAGGAAACGAGCCTAAGAGACATGAAAGTTTTTCAGTAGGAGTTTATGTGTCAGATATGAACAGAATGTTCTTCTGTTCGAATTTTGTTAAGACTAAAAGCAGAAATATTAAGGTGTGTGAATGCCACCTGGGAGAACACAAGCTATCAGTGAACCGGTTCTGCCCCAACTCTGTTCCCATTTTGATTAGTCATGCCGTCAAAGTCAAATATCCATGCCCTCCTCTTCTGTGACAGCTATTTCCTCGTCCCTTGTAGGATATTAGGGGAAGAGATGGACTCCTACTATACCTGGATTAGACTCTTAGGGACTATCTCTTCATCTTTGGTTAGATGAAGTTTTAGAGCAACTGGTGACTCTTCTGGCGGATGATAGAGTTAGATGCTGCATCTAGATAAGTGGAGCCCGGCAAGATTTGAAATAGAAGTTGTGGAATTGATATACGAGGTTCCAATTTGGGTTAATTAACAACATTGCTAAGTAGTTGTGGGAGATTTTCACTATGCAGCCAGAATGTCGAGAAGTCTGGCATCTATGACATAACACCGTACCCTTGAAGATGATGAATAGCTGTAGGCCAATTCTCTTTTCCCCATTGGTTATTACAAAATGGAGGGGGAGGGAGACGTGTTTAACGGGTCAAAAAATTCATGAAAAGGTGTAGCAGCTTCCCAATGAGAGCACTTGGAAAAAGAAAATCTTAATCGGAGTACAAAGTGGTCAGTATAGGATGTCCAAAGCCAGGTTTAGAGCCAAGTCCATCCTATACCGCGGTCATTTGGTACAAAGAAAAGTTGTACATGGATTATAGTGCGTGGATTAGTTATGTAGGGATTAGTAATACATGGATTAGTATTTAGTAATACATGGACTATTTCTTAACGGGTGTTCTATTCATTGCACTAAATTTGGATATAGAAGATATCATTTAAAATATTTATTTATTTTTTTGAATAAAAAATCAATGAGTTTACAATTATACCCTTGGATGCTTGGCCTTCATTGGCTTCTAGGAAAAAGTCAAGGATAATTTTGTCCTTTTGGTGCTTTATCCATGTATAAGTTATACATAGATTAGTTATTCCATGTTGTTGGTGGTATAAAATAATATACCAATTGGTGTATTAAGTTATACAAGGATTAGTTATACATGATTCAAAAATATAAACCAAACATTGGATAAAGTTATACCATGATTATTTTCCTTATTCATCATACCAAACAACCCCTTAGGGGTGAAGCACGTGAAGCCTAACTTTGGTGAAGCACGCGGAATGGCTATCTTGAATAGTAAGTCACCCACATTATATGCTTCCTGCTGTGGTGAGGTCCAAAGTGCAGACTTGCACGTGATGGACCGGATCCAAGTGGAAATTGAACTCGTATCTGGTCTAGGTTAGGTATATTTGAACAAAGAGGGAATTCTCGAAATTACTTGATATTGGTTTAGCTAATCTGGTTCATGTGTGGACTTGGGACTATTTTAGTTGGCCTGTGATACACAGACTGAAACCTCCAAGCTGTCAGGCTATGGAAACTAGATAAGCAAATCTACAGTTGCCTTTGCATCACTTGAGCTCACGGTTGCCTCTCTTGAGTCCCTTCATTAGTGATATATATCTGCAGAATGTAGTTTGAGAAGCTTGGGAATTTATATTACAAGATTGACGCAATATCCTAGTGTTTACTGGTTCTCTTTTCTGTTTTTGCTTATTATATTATATTCTTTCCAGGCACTTTTTCTTTACAGCTATGCTGTTTGTATACGGACGCATCCTGAGCCAGAGGCTTGTCAACACGGTTACTTCAGACAAATTTTTATACAAGCTTGTTAGCAGATTTATCAAGTATCACATGGTCACGTGTTATTTCTTGTATATCGCAGGTTTGTATGGGCTATTTTATCGTACTCATTCAATGTTGCAATGTCGACAATCACTTGTCCATTTAACAACACCCAAGGCATATCAAATCACAAATTGTTCTGTATACTGCTGCCTTATTTTCTCATAGTATGAATGACTTTGTGACTGACTGCTGGATTACTATCTTTTGCTGGTTGAGTTTTATTGTTTTCCCTCTCATTTGAAATCAGGTTTTATGTGGTTCATTTTGACATTGAAGAAGAAGAGGTACAAGTATCAATTTGGCCAGTACGCTTGGACTCATATGATTCTGATTGTAGTGTTTACTCAGTCCTCTTTCACTGTAGCCAATATTTTCGAGGGAATTTTCTGGTAAGACAGCTTAAATCTATTTCTTCCATTTTGAATAGATTTTCTATTTCATTAGTCTTTCACTTGTCGGGATTTTATGTTATTTTAGTGCTGAAACTATTATTTGAAGACTCTACCCTGCCCTTCGCTTCTTCTAATTGTTTTGTTCTCTTTGGTAAGTAATCATTTGGACTAATTTCAGGTTTTATATTCTTTCCTCAGCGTGCATATGTCTAGTCGAAAGATAGAGGGCTTCTTGTATGTTTTTGGAACTGACACATTATGCCACATCTTTTGGCCATTTTCACAAGTTTTTGTTCCACTAATAGTTTTTTTTCTTTCTGAAGCTTGACACAAAATTTAACAGGGCTATTCTTCTTCTGCTACCCCCCACCCCCCCCCCCCCAAGTTGAAATAATGCAACAAAATTGGACATGGATATAGAACTTCAAATAAAGGTTTACTGTAATGCAGGTTCCTTCTTCCAGCGTCACTCATTGTCATCAATGATATAACTGCTTATATTTTTGGTTTCTTCTTTGGAAGAACTCCTTTGATCAAGTTGTCCCCCAAGAAAACTTGGGAGGGCTTTATTGGGGCATCAGTATCAACCATTATCTCCGCATTTCTGGTAAGTGGTTGTGTATTTCAGAAAAAAATGCATGGATTTGTCTCTAGTTTGGAATTTGTGAATTGATGACGGTGTACATTGGTCCTTCCTTTTTGTATGTTTTTATGCCAGTTTATCAAGATAAACTCTATGTAATATAACATGCTACTGACATCTTATGCTCAAGTTTGTTCTGCTTTCTGCAAATATGTATCAAGTGTTGGTTGTTGTAATGTTAGAGTTAAGTGTTAACTGTTAATTATTATTGTTAAGCTGCTCCCTCGCCGGTTAAATAGAAGACGTGGAGAGTTCCCCACACCCATAATGGGTATCTTGTGTCTAGTTATCAAACTCTTTACTTAGTTTTTCCTTCTCTTAATTATATCACATGATATCAGGAGCCCATACAATTTCGGCAGAGACATTGGTAACTTCCGCCTACCGGCTGGTGGCATTATACTGTTGGTTCAGTCAGCTTTTTTCCTCTCCTCTCTTACATAATATTCTTGCCTCTTTTCGATGACCGGCACCAACCTTATCTTTGGTGCCGCGTCTCTTTCCGCTAACAGTTTCGGCAACACAGCCTCAGCCTCTATATAGCCCTTCCGGCTATTGTTATGTCAACAACTTCTCTACAAATATTTTGATGACTAAACTTCCCTGTGAGATTCTTGTGATTAGAACATTTTTGAGAATTTTCGGGCAAGTTTTCCACAACCATTCAGACGACTATTTGCTTTTTATGCGTAGAATAAGCTAACTCAAGTTGGTTTTCTCACCTGGACTTTGAGGGGTCGTGTTAGTGTATATGAGTTACAATGTTAGAGATAGTTTAACATGTTACTCCCTCCGGTCCACAATAAGTGATCAATTTGCTTTTGGCACACCCATTAAGGAAATACTAAATTCTAGACGAAAATAATTAGTGTGACTAAACTACCCTTCATTAAATGTTGCACAATAGTTATAGTAGCACTTACTTCTCTTCTCAAATGTGAGGAGTAAATGACTTTTTAGGGACACGTACATAAGGGTGATTTTGGAAAAACAAACTGAATTTTTTCTTGATTATATAAATGGACACTTATTTTGGACCAAAATAACAAAGCAAATTGGTCACTTATTGTGGACCGGAGGGAGTAGTATTTAGTTAGTCTCTCACAAATATGACATATGGATTGTATGTCTTGTATTGTGTTGTCATCAAATTATCTATGTATTCTCTCCCCTTCTCGTGTTTTTCCCGCACCTACTAAAGATTTGTCTTCAAAACAATGATTTGAGAAGGGTGTATGCTTTTTCCCTGTTCTGCTAATTACTTTCTGTTGTGTGCTAATTTGCAGCTTGCCAATATATTTGGTCGCTTCAGGTGGCTAACATGTCCTAGGAAGGTAATGTTTTAGGGTAACGTCTCTCCCAATTAGCTTGAGAGATTTGCTCCTCTGTTTTGGAAACCTTAAGTTCCAAATTGTTTAATGCAGGATTTATCAGCTGGGTGGCTTGATTGTGATCCTGGCCTACTGTTTAAACCAGATTATTTTACTGTACCTGAGTGGTTTTCTGCATGGGTAAGCGAATTTCCGTCAAAACTTCGACATTTCAAGTTTTATTTTTTTGTTGTTGCTTTGTTACTGCTTTCATATTTACTATTCTAGTGACTTTGGTAAAACCTTGTATCTTCATGTTGTTACTCCCACGCCTCAACTGTTAGGCCATTCCTTTGGCAACCTGAAAAGTGTGAATCTTTTATTATAGAAATTGATCTAATGATTTAGTTTGAATAATAAGACATCATAAAACTATTGAAGAGCATAAGGATAACTGATTTACTTTTTTTAACTGCTACTCCTTCCTCTGAAAGAGTATGGTAAACCAACTAAATGTCTGGAAGATCATAAAACTACTACTATTGGCAAACTGTAGAATCAAAAATAGGAATATCAAAATGAATGCTCATTAAATGTGAATTTTTTGGAGGCAAACTAGCTTTAGTAAAATTTGGTTGGTGCAACAACAAAAAAAAAAGGAAAGGAGAAAAATGTGAGTGGTGCATTGCAGATAGTTCATTTTGTTGATAGAGTGTTGCAGATGGCTAATTATTTTGGAGACCTTAAACTTTTAATCATCTAATAATCTAAAAGCTTGTAACGTTGCAAAAAATAAAATATAAGAGGCTACAAGAAAAACCAGAAGAGGTTGCGATCTAAAATTTTTATCAGTTCGGGGCTTGAAACAAGGTTGGTGGTGTGCACATTGTTAACTTAAAAAATTCTATGAAGTATATCAATGAATATTAAACATGTCATATTTTTAGAAGCAAAAACTTGTTTAGACGATTTTGACCACAATGAACATCCTCACTGGTGGGCAAATTTTTTGAACATGCTTTGAATATTAATGTGGGTACACATTATCATTTAGCGTAAGTTAGCATGATGTTGGTGTGTGATAACAAATATTATAATATTAACTTATAATAAAATATTATGACACAGCCTGTAGATTAGTTTTGTGTGAACCAAATGCTCTGAATGATTTGAAATTTCTTAAGATTTTATGTTACCATCTCAAAAAAATAAAAATAAGAATGTTATGTTACCATCTCAAAAAAAGGGGCAGCCCGGTGCACTAAGCTCTCGCTATGCGCGGGGTCCGGGGAAGGACCGGACCACAAGTGTATGTTATCATCTCAAAAAAAAAAAATCTTAAAATGTTGAGCCTTGAAATAGTAGTATTTTTTGGAGAGGTGTTGAATGTATACAACTGCAAGTGGTTCATTTTGATTGTCCTAAACACTCGACATGAGATTATCCGGCAATTCATCTTTTTGAAAAAAAAAGATTTCCTGTTATTTGCCTCTTCTTCGTTATGCTTGTGTTATTATTAAGCTTTCTGAAGTCAATTCAAATCCTTTTTTAGCTGATCCAGCATTGGCATAACCCTTCACTAATTCTTACTGGCGCAGTTTCCTTGGAGAGAGATCTCTGTTTTGCCTGTGCAATGGCATGCCTTGTGGCTTGGCTTGTTTGCATCAATCATAGCGCCTTTTGGAGGCTTTTTTGCTAGCGGCTTTAAGAGAGCCTTCAAGATTAAGGTTCAATGTTATTACTTCATCTTGATTTTTTAGTTACCCTAGTGGGATCGTTGCTATTATGTTGCAATCATCTTCTCTCTCTCTTGGTGCTATAGGATTTTGGTGATAGTATACCTGGACATGGTGGCATCACAGATAGAATGGATTGTCAGGTGAACTAAATGAAGTGTCGCTTTCTATACCTTATTAGTAGGATCAGTATTTCCATAGACCGATAGATTTCTCCTTCACTTCTCCTCCTACTCTGGCCTGTTAGTAGTGCTTTCTAGTTGTAATCCGAACTATCAGTTTGTGATATATTTCTTATGTGTACGTTCACGCAGATGGTGATGGCTGTTTTTGCATATATCTATCATCAGTCTTTTGTGGCGCCTCAGAACTTGTCAATTGAGATGGTCTTGGATCAGGTACGTGGCTCAAGTGACATGAATTCCATGTAATTTCTTGTTGAAGTATTTCTGTTGGAGCTGATATACTTGCTCCATATAATACAGATAATAATGAACCTGAGCCTTGATGAGCAGCGAGATCTGTACTTGAAACTTGGGCAAATCATCCAGGAGAAAATGTTTGGAGAATCCTGAGCACATATTGTATATGTTTTCTTTTTTTGTTAGCGTCGCTGCTGTTGACATTTTGCACACTGTACAGTGCTGTCACCCTCCGGCCTCCTCCTCCCCCTCTCTCTGTCGCGCTCTATTTTGTATTGCTGGTTTGTTTTTCTCCTTGTATTCTTTAGTAGTTCAGTGGATTGCTACTATATTGATCAAATTATAGGCAAGATAAAGCATCATCTATGAAACTGCAGAAAGCTAGATATTGTTATGACATATACTTGAGACAAATATGATTGATTCAAAAGATGCATTTAGCTCCCATGGTCTGCTTCTTGTAGCTTATGAAAACTGTTCTTCATAGTATTCAATTTTTCAGGTGCTATCTTTGTCACTTCACCATGTTCTGGTTCAAATAATTGGAAGTACTGACTCTTGCTCATATAGGCGGATCCAGTATTTAAAGTTTCTAGGTTCACAACCAAATATATATATATATATATATATATATATATATATATAAAGCTGTTGGGTTCACGCGAACCCGCCCCTGTGCAGAGATGGACATAGGATTTAAAGTTTATGGGTTCCTAATGCGACCTTAAGTAAATATACAATAAGTATTGATATTTAATTAATTTTTAAATATATATAGGGTATGTGAAAAAACTATTGGGTTCACGGGAACCCACATGTAATAAGCTAGACCCGCCCCTGTCGAGGTGCCGTCTCACCGTAGAACTACTGTGAGCGATCTAAAGTAATTTATGACTAACCAAGTTGTTCAACGTCATCTTAAAGAGCTGAAATATAGCAAATGAATGGATAAAGTACTTTGATTTTGTTTAGCAAGAACAAGGAGGCTTTCAAAATTGTGGTAACTGTTCTAAAATTAAACTTAGTAGTCATATATGATGAAGTCTTGGAAAATGATAGAGGATACACTTGGAAACAAATGATTTAATCAAATTAGTTTCATGAGAAATGTAATCCTTGAACAAATGTATCTTATCACCCTCGTAGAGTACACTATAGTAGCGAACACATTAACCTCAAGCGTATGGCATAATGGTCAGTGAAGTGGGTCGAGAATTACGAGGTCTCCGGGGCAAAAATGCTAGGTGATCTCTTCCTATTTGTCAAAGTTTTGGGGGACAGAGTTATTCGGTACATCTACTAGCGGAAGGTAGTAAGTATACCGTAAAATAGGTACCCCATGAAATTAGTTGAGATACACGCAATCTGACTCGAATACTCATTAAACTATATAGGAGCAAAAGGGGTATGAAGCAAATGAAAGTTTGGGTCAAATCGATATTTAGCAATATATTTGGGGTACAACTGAAAGGCAGTAGAAAAACTATAAATCTTGGTTCCACACTTCCACCTATAAACCCAATTACTTCACCTTATATTCCTCATTTACCGAATCAGCTTCGAATTTTCCGACCCGAAAAAAAGAAGAAGATCAAACTTCCTAATGTCTTCTCCTCCGCCGGACGCTGGAACAATTGCCGCCGTCACCGTTCGACCGTGGCCGTTATTCATCGATACCGCTGCCCTCAGCCTCCCAATCTCATTCTCCGACGCAACATATCGGATCAACAAAAACCTCCGTTATTTCGCCGGTAATTACGTGCTAATCATCCTCTTTATCCTATTAATCACCCTAATTCTACGTCCAATTTCACTCGTGCTGTTCCTAATCATCTTCGCCGGTTGGATTTACCTATACTTCTCCCGTAATGAGCCGTTGGAGCTGTTCGGCTTCGATATTGATGATAGGTTTGTGTTAGGGTTTCTGAGTTTGGTGACTGTCGTTGCGCTTCTGGTTGCTAAGATTTGGACGAATGTTTTCGTTTCAATTGGCTTTGGGATTGTGATTCTGTGTGTTCATGGTGCACTTAGGGCCCCGGAAGATCAGGAAGATTCACCTTATGGTGCTTTGCTGTCGGAAAGTCCCAGAGGGGATTATACTATTGTTTGAAATTTCATGATTGAATATTGTTTGAATTTTAGGGCAAAATTTGAGTTGGATAGTGTAACTAGTATTGTTAAATTGATGGAATTGGTTTTGGTGAATTCTATAGAAATGTGGAGAGTTGAATTTGTGAAACAATTGCGGATTTTACTTCTTTGATGTAGTTGAATTTCCTTGTTATGTGCTAGAGGTAAACTAGTTTTAACCTGGCTGTCAGTCTACCGCAGGCTTGGGAATGGCAATGTGAGCAGAGCTCGTACTGTTGTTGTTATTGTTGTGCTAGAGATAAACAGCGTATTTTTTCGGATTTAAAGTGGTTGCTGCATTGCCATTAATGATGATTTGGATGGTCAATGTGATTTGTTGAATTTCAATGTCGCTTTTTTTTTTCATTGGTATATGGTTGAGTATAGCCAAAATTGAGTTGGTAGTGGAATTAGTATTGTTTAACGTTGAAATTTGTTTTGTTGACACTTTCGAGATGCGGGGTGTTGAATTGATATAAAGATTGAGGCCTTTTGTCTCTTGTTGAATTCTATGTTGGGAAATAAACTGGTGCTGTTTTTCATATTCTGCATAGTGATTGTTTTTGGTTTCAAGTCTCACTGCCACAAAAATGTCTGCATGTGCTTGGTCCAAGTAACTAGTTATGCCTGCACTTGAGTAGGTGTATTGCAAATTTAAAATGAATATCTAAAGTGTCTTCTTTCTACTAGTAACTTAATCTTTAGATGAGGTGGTTCACTTACTTCAATGAGATCAACTGTGAGATTGAGTTAATTTGGACTGGAATTGTTGCATTGCCAATGACAACTGTTTCTGTGCTTTTTCTTGTGCATGATGTGGACATGGATGATTGTTTGGTGATCAAAGCATGGTTGATTATCAATTTAATAGTTGGTTGATTTGGAGTATAGGTTTGGGTTTCCGGTTCTAGATAAGTCTGATTGCCGTATATTGTCTGTATTATGTTTCACTGGTTCTACAAGCTTGGTCTGTTCATTGTTTTTTCTTGTTATTTATAGGAGTAGGTTATCTGCTTCAATATTATACTAGTTCATAACCCTTTATTTTTTTAGTCTTCTCTAGTTGTGTTAAAGAAATAGTGGGTACCAAGATTTGTGTTTAGAGAGGGAGTACAGAATGAAAGATGAAGGTAATGTGAGATAGTTTGTTTCTTGTTTAAAAAAAGGTGCATGCGTGGTGTGATTCTGCTTGGTTTCTATTTCCCTATTTGCTTGTTTGTTTGATAACTCAATTTTTATAGTGCCAAAGCGTGAACTGATTTAAGTTTGGTTTGGGAACCTCAAGGACCTGTTCTGCATCTATTTCCATTCCCACCTGGTTTGGAACGTCACAGCACCCCCC